CAGCCGGAAGTACATGAGCCACTGTGGAAGCGAACGAGAGGGTTTTTCGCGATTTCCGGGGAACTAATGACGCACGGATGAGGAGCGATGAGACATGGGTTGGTGTCCTCTGTTGACTCTCCCAACCCTTGACATTTATTGATCTATTTCTGCTGTGCATTTTGGAAAATTTTCATGGAATTTACGAATATACCGGAAAAATTTTCAAACGCTATCATGTTAAAGCAAACTAAAAATAAAGAAATAGACAATATATTGAAAATGTGATGCTTAAACGGAGGGAATTACACGTCATCTTCGGAAACGCAACGATTTAACTGAAATGCGGGTGATTGAGATACATAATGTTTGTAGTTCTTAAGAAAAAGGTAAGTTAGCAACCGAAGCCTTTTTCTCCGACTGGGTAGCGTCCTAAGTCCCTGAGCCCCAAAAGGCAACTTAGTCTTTCACATAATATATGGATGGGTATCACGTAACTGATTTGATTTCACTCCAAATCGATGACAAAGAGGCCTCTATAAGCTTTACAATTCATGACAAATTCAATTTTAAAGGATATCAATTAAGGCTACATGTAAAATTGCAACTTTTTTCGGCATTCATTACGGATTGGGGGACGACAGATTCTTGATTTCAATCTATTTTATACATTTATTATTTCATGCAATTCACTTCAATTCTTAGCAAATTTTGTGCCAGCTTTCCACAATGAACAAAAGAGACAAGAAGCACTAGACGCCATTGTGAGTTCGACTGCAAATGTTTTGCCAAACCTAATGCCACTAACGTTGCATACGGTTACAAACTGCACCGATGCATTATTAGTTAGTATTAGTATAATTATTAGTAATAATCTCTCATTGTCCCGTATTTGTCCCTGTCTTTTTTAAACATTTTTTTTACAATTTCGTTTCCTGCGAATTATTAGCTACAGAGAGGAGACTACAACAATGGAAATTCTTCATCTGTCAAAATGACATGAAGCATGAGGTACTGTGATCGGCACATACGGGCTTCATTGCGTTGGGGGGGGGGGACTCACAGTATGAGACATTAATCGCCCATTATGCAGCCGTCCAAGCACTGACATGTGTCATATCGTCAATAATGCGAATCAGTAGTGGTACCTGGAAGATGAATGCCCCATTCCAATTGTTTATGGGGAGAGTTGATGATTGCGGTATTATCGCCAATGCCACTTATTGCTTTATACAAGAAGCAGGTCATTAAACATGAAAATTTCAAATGATAAAAATAAAGTCCCAAGTGCATTCGAATCGGGCCTGGCAACCTCTAAATACCTAAATAACTGTATCTCTCAAGAAGTCCGTTGGAACACTCACCAAATCTCTGGTGGACACCTTCACACATCGCAGGAACAGGCACCCTACCTGGCTCGTGAAGGACACGGCGTACTCCGCCACTGCGTCCTCGGTGGTCTTTGGTCCTGTGCCCGACATAACCTTCTTTCTTTTCCCTACACCTACGGATACATCGCATGTTGCATCTAGTCAGAGTCCCTGGAAAGTTCCAATGCAAAGTTTCATCGAGTGTTTATTCCTGACCCTGTATGAACTATGAATGAGTCGGCCAAGGCGCTGCAAATTCGTTTTAACTTCGGAATCAGATTTTTCTAATTTTATACTCGTTCACTTCATTGCTCTAGCCCCCTCACAATAATAATCATTTGATGCATAAGAAGTTGCTTATTTGATCGAAGTATCTTAAATTTCACTCCAATGGCGTGCACATATTGTTAATACTGAAAAAAGCCCGGAATATACAGCATGTTCCTTAAACATAAAAAACGAGTCGACTAAACCATTTACATAACAATGAATTCCTAATGTATTTGAATGCATACCAGACCAGGCAGCGGAAAGGGAAGACTCGCTGGCGGGACGCAAGCTGACTTGGAGATCGGTATCCTCTTGTTTGCGAGGCATTACGATTTTCACTTTGGCTGCATTGAATAACACATTGACTGCTTCCCTCCCGTGGAATCCGAACGCCACTTCCATTGCTGCAACGCCGAAACAAAGGGTCGTCATGGGTTTCATGGAAATCATGGAATTGTCTCGTATTTTGGAGTTGAGGTAATCCATTCAATCACTGTCTAAAAACGGTGGCTGCAAGAGCAACCTGTAGGTGTATAGTTTCCGAGAGTGGGAGAAAAGGAATGAATACCTAAATAACTGTATCTCTCAAGAAGTCCGTTGGAACACTCACCAAATCTCTGGTGGACACCTTCACACATCGCAGGAACAGGCACCCTACCTGGCTCGTGAAGGACACGGCGTACTCCGCCACGGCGTCCTCGGTGGTCTTTGGTCCTGTGCCCGACATAACCTTCTTTCTTTTCCCTACACCTACGGATACATCGCATGTTACATCTAGTCAGAATCCCTGGAAAGTTCCAATGCAAAGTTTCATCGAGTGTTTATTCCTGACCCTGTATGAACTATGAAGGTGTCGGCCAAGGCGCTGCAAATTCGTCTTAACTTCGGAATCAGATTTGTCTAATTTTATACTCGTTCACTTCATTGCTCTAGCCCCCTCACAATAATAATCATTTGATGCATAAGAAGTTGCTAATTTGATCGAAGTATCCTAAATTTCACTCCAATGGCGTGCACATATTGTTAATACTGAAAAAAAGCCCGGAATCTACAGCATGTTCCTTAAACATAAAAAACGAGTCGACTAAACCATTTACATAACAATGAATTCCTAATGTATTTGAATGCATACCAGACCAGGCAGCGGAAAGGGAAGACTCGCTGGCGGTACGCAAGCTGACTTGGAGATCGGTATCCTCTTGTTTGCGAGGCATTACGATTTTCACTTTGGTTGCATTGAATAACACATTGACTGCTTCCCTCCCGTGGAATCCGAACGCCACTTCCATTGCTGCAACGCCGAAACAAAGGGTCGTCATGGGCTTCATGGAAATCATGGAATTGTCTCGTATTTTGGAGTTGAGGTAATCCATTCAATCACTGTCTAAAAACGGTGGCTGCAAGAGCAACCTGTAGGTGTATAGTTTCCGAGAGTGGGAGAAAAGGAATGGAACAAAGTGGGAGAGAGAGAACCAGAGAAACAACCTTGAATTATTCGATTTTGACTTCGTATTACCTTGGAACTGCCACTATCTATAATGATTTCCCCTTCTGAATCCCCTTCACGACTTTCCTTAGGAGGTTGGAATAAATTATGCATTTCGCGATTGGAAATGAGACAGTATAGCTTCTGCAATAATCCTCAATCTCTAAGAAAGGATGGTCCATCTAATTTTATATGAGCGTTCGACGTAGAACGTCACAATAAGCCTATCAACATCCACTTGACGTCCTCTTGTTGCCATACACGAACTTGGAACGGGGAATGCTCCTTTCCCTGCTCCTTTTCCATCATTTCTCAACGCCACTTGACTTCATCGCTGTGTCTCGAACTTTACTGGAATACTTTTGTCCCTGCTCCTCTCTGATGCAGGAGGTAAGTTTCTCTTATGCCGATAGGCGAGAAGCATGGTCTGTGGCTTGTTTACCCATATGCTTACGGGTTCCGTTATCATTCCCATTGGAGAGACTTGGTTCAAGGGCATACATTAAATAAATGGGAAGCGCAAACGGCAACCTAGTTATCTATATATTTCATTGATATATTTCCTATTGCTCTTGATGCAAGAAAGACTGTGAGGTTTTGCGTATTATTTTCCACAACGTTATCTAACTTTTTTTTCTCTATCAAGCGACAATGTGCAAGTAGTGTATCAGTAGAATAATTCAGTCATTTCTATAGATTATTTATACGTGCTAATTTTTTGGACTACGTGAACCATGATATACCTTGGACAACCTAGAGTTCATTTTAGCTAACATCATCACGGACTATCATTTCTTTCACATGCAAACATTTTTTTCTCGAAAACTTGCTTTGCTGCATTATTCTCTTATTTACCTCTCACACTATAAGTAGGATGCCATGAGGCTATTGGCATTTTGGTGACTTGTGAGATAGTCGAGAGTGTCATCAAAACACTACACTTAGTAGGTGTTCCATACTTGTGCCGCTATTGCCAGACTAATGAAGGCAAACCTGCTCTCAAATGAACCCCAGACGATCGCAAGGATCATTTGCTGGACAATGATGCTGAGACATCAAGCTCAGGAGAAAATTTACAATGGAACTCCTAAGTAATGTTCCCCATTTAACCAACTCAATTGAGAATGAAGCGAGGTTTGCGACGCTCAAGGGAAGGCAATGTAATGACATTGAAGATGTCACAAAATAAGTAACACACGGAAACACTGAAAGAACCTCAACGTTAGAAAAAACTTGAGAAATTAATTGACTCGGGGAGAGAACATTAAAACAAATTTATTCATCAGCATTTTTGCCCGAGTCAACCTAATGGGCTTAAGTGAAATTAATATTAAGAGGTTTAAGTGTTCGTCCCAACATGGAAAATTTCATTAATGACATTTAGTTACTGAAATTTGGCATATGATTTAACAAATGCACATCACGAAAAGAGTTGCATCCATCTATATGCATGTATTGCACCCAATACCAGACGCATCGTCGATATGAAAACTTTAGATCAGGGTGAGAAAAGTGACTGTGCACTAAGGCACTCTGTGACCTACATGCTGGTCGCGGTAAGAGCACCTCTGCTCTAAATGCCTTTAAATCGGACTAGCATTAAACCATAATTCGATTTCTCCCGCCTGCGCTCATGATCCGAGAAGTTACTCACCATAGTCGGCAGGGTTGTGATACGGAGGACAATGAAGACCGAGCTGACGAAGAAAGGGCAACAGTGAAGAGACAGTGCCGTGGTAAAGACTGCGTCCCTCAGCGAGGAGAATCATATGATCGAATTTCTCCAGGATTTTCGCGCTGGGGTGGTGGATTGTGCAGATCACAGTTCTACCCTCGCGTGCCAGCATGCTTAACAGGTTCACGCATTGCTGGCAGGTAGAGCTGTCCAGTCCACTAGAGCACCGATCAAAAACCATTGCGAATGCCATGTAAATAAAAGTTTATTTGTGCTTCTACAGTAAATCCTTGCAATTTCATGTTGTTTAGCCTCCTGTCATTCAAGTGTGCGAAAAAGCTAAGGGATATTAATTTAAAAATTCAAGTGCAAATTATATCAAGAAATGTACCAACTAATTATGGATCCTTTGCCAAGTTGTCTAGTATGTATTCATTTGAGATTTCACGTTCTCATTGCCATTATCATTGCCACATTATTTCAAGCATGAAGCTCTTCGTTCTAATCTGGGTGTGAACAAAAGGGAGAAAATATAGGTAAATACATGTTAACATGTTCTCATTCGTGAACGAAAAAAAAGACATTTGACCACTACTTCCTTCATTTTCTATGTATCTTCAATATGTTAATATTTTCCATTAATTTGAGCATCGCGAATTTCCTCTTCCCCTACCACCAACGAGAATTTTTCATGCTACAATCTACTTTTACTTTTTTCAATCTTTCGTTTAATGTAATTCCTCAATATGAGGATCATCAATATTTCCTACTATATCCAGAGATGCGGGTATCACTTATTGGGTTCAAATGCAAATTACCCAGGAACTTAAAAAAAAAATTAATAACTGAAACAAGTGATATGTGAGGCCTAACAAATTAAAGCAAACCTCAGATGTACCCAAAGCTTGACATAGAAGTTTCATTTAGAAGTGCTTGGATGGCGCTGATACATGATTCCTCTTATATTATTTGAGTAAATAAGAAATTCAAATCTAATTTTTACGTTCACATTATTCCGGGAGATTCTTCTCAGCAGCATCGTCATATGTATTCTTACTTTCAATTGCTAATGAGCTTCACGTTGTTTATGCTGGTCTTTCCTTTAGAAAGTCACATCATATCACAATAGAACTCATTCAACTATATTCTTGCTCATCCCTTATAATGTCAGAGAATATGAGAGCGATGCTACAAATTTCATTGAAAAAGGGCAGCGTCGAAGACCTGATCATTAAAGGGTTAAGAAATGTTTCTAGTCTGAGCGTTCGATCTTGTTTCTTCTTGAACTATGGACTTTTTAGTGCCAACTCTTCAACTCTAGCATATTGATGCGATATTCGTAGCGTCGTAAGCGACTCTGGCACCATAAGGGTTAACGTTCTCTTATGTCAAACAGTTTCATTCACAAAAACGCAGGCTAGCCTCTGCCTGCCTGGTGGGTTCGTCAAGGAAGAGGATCGGAGGGTCAGCGATGAGCTCAAGGGCGATGCAAAGTCGCTTCCTCTCTCCGCCTGACAAGCACGATGCCTTCGTCTCCGCACAACCCTGCATCGATAAGTGTTGCAGGATCTGCACAACCTGCAATCAATATGTTTCACTTTCATCATCTTGGGATACAAATCATCGCAAGGATGGGAGGTAAAAAATAAATATTTTTCTTACGGTATTTCCTTAATGCAAAACTTAAAATAATAGTTATTATGTTGAAACTCCAGCATGCACTTCAATATCTTGAAGAACTTACGTTTCACATATTTTTACCTTATTTCAAGAATGATAGGTTAACTGACAAGGGAATGAAATGAGTGTAAATGAAACCAAAAAAATGCAGAGCTACAGCACCAATTTAGAAGGGTGTTCGTCTTTCCAAAAATTGGGGCAGAGGGGAGGGGAAACTTATGTGTTACTGTCCAAAGAATGAACGAGAAAATAATTTTCATGTTTTTCGCAGTTAGGAAAATATCAATATTATGGATCAGTAATTTTTTGCATTTTTTATATAAGGCCTCGAGACGAGCAAATCCATGAAGTAATGCAGAGGGAAACAAAAAAGAGGCAAAGAGAGGAACTGACGGCATTGTGTTTTTCTTTGAAAGATTTGGAGCTTGGAAGTTTGAGGTTGGCGGCGACAAGCATGGACTCCATGACTGTGAGGCAGGGGATCACGTGGTCCTGCTGAGGGATGTAGCTGCTTTGGTGGCGGAACAAGCGCAGGTTCCTTTCTCTCCCATTCACTTCCACTTTTCCAGTCACGCCCTTTTGCCTAAATATGTCAATGTGTGTTGGCACCGACGCATGGAGAGAATTTCTGGGTGTTAATGGGCCCCACTAAAAAACCTTTACAGGAAAGGAGGCTGTGCCTTTAGTGAGGAGGCCTCGGATGAGTTATGGATGCTGGTTTACCAAAGCTTTGAAGGAAACAAGGGAAAGAAAAGCAGTCCAAAGATTCTCGGTGTCACCTTAGGGTCTTGTTAGTGTCATTCAACTACCCTGCGAGTGGATCGAAGTGGATATTTTATATTTTAAAATAATTTGGGTGCATTTTTGATTTGAAATGAATGACAGACAATTCAGTTTCATTTATTATTTACAATTCAACAGACATATGTGTTAAGAAAGCATTCCTTTTTTTTTACACATTTCATTAAAGGTAAAAACGGAAATTTCACACAACTAAACAAACGAAATATCCACTTCATATAATACCCAATGTATACAAAGGGATAACAATTGGTTAGTAGAGAGGCACAATGCGGCTTTAGAGAGAGAGAGGAGGGTCATCTTATAATTAAGGAGAAGTTCTCTGCGCATGACAATTTTATAGCTTCCTGTCGTTATACCTTGACATTTACCTCTTCACAGCGAATATTGTTCATCTGATTGAATAATAAAAAATGAAATAATGAATGAAGAAACGGTAATGGAACTTCATTAGCTGACCCGTGGAAGACTTCCACAAACTTCGGGTCGGCATAGGCCCAGGGTGTCAATGTGCAAGTTGAATATCTCGCCTAGGAAGTCAGGTGGCTTTTGGAAAAGCATAGACATTTTCAATCTGTTCGTAATTAAACCTTTTTGTAAGGTTTTCGCAAATGTGGACCATCCACCCCTGAAGGGCTCTATCCGGCCCACAGTTTAATCAAATTTGACACTCCTGGCATTGGCTAAGCGGGCAGCATTTTCGGGAATTTAAATAAATCAGATCAAAACGATTTGAATAAATCAGCAGACCTCTCGACGCTTTACACAGCAGACATAGCACTTCCTGCGTACCTCCCCCCCCCCCCGCTTCCTTTCCTATCCACGGTGGTGTTCGGATTTACTATATGTCTTTTCTCGCGGGAACTGGAAAAACGTCCTCGCGTATAACCTTTGGATTCCCCTTTCATCTCGCTGGGGAATGATGATTTCCTCGCTGGTATGTGATCAGCCCTATATTCATCGAGATCCGGACCGTTTTATCGATTGTAACTCGTGTTGTTCGGCACTCGTTTCCCGTATCGATCGCGACGCGGTATGACGTAGGTGGGAAAGGGGGCGGGGGACGCAAGGCGTACAACGCCTCTTTCTGCCGTGCTCGAGAACGGGAGCCTTGACGGCCGGAAAGATTTTCTTGTTGTTGTTGAGAAAGGGGAAGAGAAGTCTTTCGTCTTCTCGGTGATTATGGCTCAATGTTCTGAATATCTCAACTGAATGTCTTCGTGGGGTTTCTTGCTGCACATTAACTAATAACTTGGAAGTAGAGGAGTACAAACACAATATCTAAGATTAATGCCATGGATAAATTTAATGCCCCAATGCGCCGTTCAGGGGTGTTGCTCGAGGCAACGCATGGGGGGTCGACGGGCCTTCGTACATGTGCATGCATTCTCGTGCATGCATTAAGAATCTACCCGAGGAGAGGAATATTAATTTTAAAAATCATTAATAACCTTCAACGACTGAATAAATAGGCTGGACGACCAAATGGATGGGTCAGGATGAAGTTAGTAGTAATTTTTGCGAGATGAAAGGTGGTGGTATAAATTTGGAGACCTATAACCGGCGAGAATGTTCATGAGGCAGGTCTTCCCCGCCCCGCTGGGTCCCATGATGGCCGTCAGCTCCCCTGGCTTCATCCGCCCGTCCAGACCCTTCAGGATCTCCTTCATCCCTGCGTCACAGCATTCCCGTGAAACATGTTCGTATTCGGCGTAAGACTCATCTCCCGACTTTGAGAATGTGACGTACTTCCGTCGGGGTCGCGGACCCAGTAATGGACGTCAGAGTAGGCGATTTCGAGGGAGTTCCTGGATGGGACGCGCGTGGAGCCCCGCAGCGGCTTCTCTCTTTTCACCCATGCCGCCTTTCTGACAGGACAATAGAGTCTAATCAAAACGAAATGAATGTATAAAAATGATATAGATAAAGAATTTCT